CAGCAGAGGATGACCCAAGGCCTTGGGACCCTGAAGCCATGTAGGAGATCCAGATAAGCACCAGGCTCCTGGCTTCAGACTTTCCTATGGCCAAGTGAACCAGTGGCTGGAAGATCTCTCACTTTTTCTCTCTCTACAAATCTGCTTTTCAAGTAAAATAAACAAATATTTTTAAATGTCTGTATCCAAGTGCCTATGTATAATGATACACACACTAGGCCAGTATCTATTCTCTTCTCCCAAAGACACTGGTCTCTCTTTTACAACTAAAAACAAAAGTATATTAGTGAACACTATATCTTCAATCTTAAGCCTTTTCTGAAAAGAAAAAAAAATGTAAAGAAACAGAAGGAAGAAACTGTGTATATGGAGAGGAGTGAAGTGGAGGATAGGAGAAAGAAATGAAGAGAAAAATGGAAGGGAAGGTGACAGGGAGATGTACCGTGAAGCTGATGGGTTTGTTATTTCCAAAAGCATGTTCATTCGCAGGGCATAATGAAGGAGAAAAACATTTTCATTTTCTTTCCTGACAGCTGGAGCATAAACAGTTGCTGCAATAATATCAGAAATTATTGGACATTTTGAGCATTTTTGCTTGTGAGAAATCAACATCCCACCAATTTGAAGTAGCAGCCCCAAGGTGCCCTAGAAATTCTGTTTTTCAAATAAAGCTGCTGGACAAAAAGTGATGTGCACTGTCTAGTGGGCGGTACGCTGGCCAGACACCAAATTTGCAGTGTGTATCCCCGATCCTGGGATCTGACAGCTATCCATTACATCCAGTGCTTCCCCCATGAATGAGACTCTCCTCCAAAGAAGACCAAAAATGGGAGCAAAGTTTAAGACTCATTGGTTTAAAACAGAACAGCTCTAACTTGTCACCTCTTCAAATGCTTCAAGATGCTGAAAATAAAAATACTTTTGAATAAGTTTCCCTGGAATAAATCAAACAATATGAACTATTTCAATCACCTGCTTCTGAAAATAAAAAAAAGCAGCAATATAAACTAAAAAGTTGATAAAACAGGAGCCAGCCTTGTGGCACAATGGTCTAAGCCACTATGACACCAACACCCTTATTGCAGCACAGTTCCTTGATAATCAGCCTGAGAATGCAGTAATGGATAGTCCAAATATTTGGCTCCCCATCACCCATGTGGGAGATCTAGATGAGCTTCCTGGCACCTGGCACCTGGCACCTGGCTCCTGGAATCTGGATCCTAGCTCTGGCTTGTCCCAGCTTCAACTCTTGCAGGCATCTTGAAGTCAACCTGTGAATGGAATACTTCCTTTCTCTGTGTGTGTCTCTCCCTCTCTCTCTGTCAGTCTACAATTAAAATAAATATTTTCCTTAACTTTGTAAAGCAAAATATTTGACCCAAAAGGATGTTTTGAAATGCACCTGTGACAGTAAATGAGCTTTGTAAGAAACTCCTGATCTTATGCTAAAAAGCTTCCAGCAAACATTTGAGACTGACCCACATTCACTAACCTTAATCAGCAGGAGACATTACTGTCCCTTGACACCTTCCCTGTATGACACTCACTCTGAGTCAGAATGGATCCACTCCACATTTTAACAGAAGATGTATTCGTTTGAAAGAGAATTACAGAGAGGGAGGGAGAGACAGAGACACAGAGAGCACGTGCAGAAAGGAGGGAACGTCGATCCACTGGTTCACTTTCTCTCCATATGGGCACAATGGTCAAAATCTTCAACTGCCTTCACATGCACAGCAGGGCGCAGGATCAGCTCGAGCAGTAGGGACACTAATGGCATCCATATTAAACGCCAGCATCACATGCACTGGTTTAAGCAGCTATGCCACAACTCTGGCCCCAATTCTACACTACGAACTGCTCCACAGACAGAAGAATCATGAAAATTTTCCATTGTTTGAAGGAAATCAGGCAACTCATCTGAGGACAATCATGATGAGAGAGAGAGAGAGAACATCAAATACAGGAAACTCATGCCACCCAGCATTTCTGGGTATTCCACTTTGGGAACCATCAACTAGTTTCTATCCTCATGGGGATGTTCATGAGTAACACTCACAACCTACGAAAATACAATGGAAACAACATTGCTACTCTGACTGTAAAGCAGCAGAATCCATAGCAGTAAAACTGAAGGAGGACGGACAGGGGCTAGCAGAAATGGTGAAAATCCATGGATGTGGCCACAGAACATGTTGTGGAACTTGATTTCAACAGGAAAGCACAAGGGAAAAACTGGCATGAGTCAATAAAATAGCAATTTGTCCATCCTCTCAGCTTCTGTTAAGCAGTCTACAGTTGGGAATGAAGCTATTCATCAGTTTGATGGACTTTCTGATTACTAGTACCGTGATTTAGAGATTAATCTTTAATGAATGAGGAAATTGAAATAACCTAACCCATACATTTAAACTCTCCAATCACTTTGCTGATCTTCACATTAAAATTTGCCACCACCAAGAAGATAATAAAAGACCCATATAAGATACAAAACAATGGGAGGCCAAAGGTCACCTGATATCCATAGTGTCATATGTGCATACAAACTCATGGAACAGGACCAGCATTGGTGGGTGAAGCAGCTGCCTGCAACACATGCATCTTCTATTGGAGCACTGGTTTAAGTCTCAGCTGTTCTTCCTCCAATCCAGCTCCTTGCTCATGCATCTGGGAAGGTAGTGGATGGCGGTCCACTTGCGTGGGTGCCTACCACCACGCAGGACATCTGGATGGTGTTGCAGGCTCCTGGCTTCCTTCTGGCCCAATCTGGGCTACTTTGGTCATCTAAAGCAATAAATTAGCCAGAATATGGAAGACTTCTTCCTTTTCCTCTCTCTCATCTCTCTATACACCCTGTCTTACACACAAATAAAATAAAGCTCAAAGATATGCACTATTTGACTTGGTAACTAGAAAATCGTAACCATGGATATTGTGTCTCTTTGCAATTATCTGGTACTGTTTCCATATTATTTATATCCCAAATAAAAACAAAAATACATGTACAGAGATTAAAAGCATGAATCCACAGTTGAGCATTTTGAGTACAATTCACTTGAACTAAGGCATTTATTCCCATAATGATTTATCAGGGAATCTTTACCTGAAAAATCAGTTATATGTATCATCAACCCTAAACAAAGAGGTAATAAAATGAGGCCAAAATGAAAATAGCATTCCCTAGCTTACCTAACAAAATAGCAATGCTTGAAGAGGCATCACAGCCTTTCCCTAATCCCATCACAGTCTGTTCACTTAAAAGCAGAACAGCAGTTTGATGCTAGCCACAATTTATAGAGCAATTTCAAAAGGACATCAAGAAAGCATTTCTGAGTCCACTGTCTTCTCATTCTATTTGTTCTCAGGATGATTAACTAAATGAGACACACTGGTGATGCCAAGTTTATATTTAACCAGAATAATAGGAGTGTGATTATTTTACTCCTTAACCTTTCATAAAGAAATAGATCCTCTATATCTATCCTATGTGTCTTGACCCAACTAAAGTCCTTGCTACCATCATCCTTCACCCAAAAATCCAGTTCTCTAGATTACACACACACATCTAGCATATTAAAATATGCAGCCACCTAAGTATTAGAAATTAGTGTAACTTATATAGAAGAGCCTAAATGCCCCAAAATGTTTTTTCCAAAACATCTCTATATAGATTAAGCACATAACCAGTTATTTCAGTCAACACAGGATTGCAATAGTAATAGTTCAGCCTCTAGTGGATTATTTTCCTGATCTATTCAGTTGGAATGATTAAGACTAAAATAGAAAACTAATCCCAAATTTTTCCTTCTCATCACACTGCATTGTCACAGACATGCAAATCTCGTGCAAAATATAGCAGTGTCCACAAGGCCAGAGTAGAAAGCAGTTGGAATTAGGTTCAAATGCCAGTACTTTTTCTCATAAAAGCAAAGCAATATTCCCGCCAACACACATTCACGACTGCCTTTTAACGACTCTAGGCTACAAGGTAGCAAAAGGCTTTCCTCTTCATTCCCAATAATCTCTGAGCCTCTCTGTGAAAACACAAGTGCCAACTCCTGGGTTCTGTAGTAGACTCACCTGACCAAAACCTTTAACAACTTCCTTCAAGGATGATTTCCTTTTTACCATTGTTAGTGTAAACTAAAGAAATCTAGCCCAATAAACAATCCAGATAAAATGATAAAGAAAAATAATCCTAGCATAAAGTGCAATAAAAGCCTAGTGGTACAGAAGCTAAAGGACCCTTAATCTTAATAACATCGCTGATTAAAAGCAGTGTGAAATTACCTAAGCAAACAATCTGAAGCCCAGGCAATTGTCAAATGCATCTTTATTACAGCGATTAAATGTCTAGAACTTTGTCGCTGACAGCTCCGCTACTTCATGCATAAAACTCTCACATCGGATAGTGGCTAAAAAAAGAAGAAAAAAAGACCTGGCATAGATTGTGTATTTACAGACCCAAGAACATAAATATCCATGAGCTAAATCATTGAAATAAAACAAAGTCAAAAGTGATATAGGCTAAGACCAACACACAGCTGAGTAGCAAGGAGAAAAAAATCATTCAGCCACATACACTGACATAGGCTCATCCAGTCTTGCCACAGAACTGTCTAGCAGACCATTTTCATATCTGGAAATATTCCTAGACATTTTCGTAACCCAAGTGCTTACACAGTATATAAAAAAGCGTCATGAAAATTTCATGGATGCCATTAAATCACATATATAAGAAGCAAAATATCTGAAATGCCCCCACTCGACTTGGTGTTACTGCTGATGACAGACAAACCCTTATAAAAGCGTCAGTCTCGATTTCCTTACTCTACCTAGGGATCACTTGAAAGTATCCAACCATCAAGAACTATGCAGTGCCGTCCTTGGTGATGCGAGGAATCCATCGGGGTGTGTGTACAGATGCACACCGAGACAGGAAGCCAAAGCAAGCAAGCCAGAAGTGCCCCCGTTTTACAAGAAAGGACAGAAAGCCTTACCTTTCGGTACACCAGCATGTTGGGTGATTCATCTGCCACACCATTGCTGGTCTGCCCATAATTGTTCCCCTGGGCCATGTCACCCACACCTCGGTCCACGCTCAGAGGTAAGAATCACCAGGCTGCCCTGCAAAAGGGTCAGAGACCTCAGTGAGAGTCCAGCCGCGCGGCTGCTTCCCAGCGCTGACATCATCACAGCCCCCATCCCACCTGGCGCATACCGAGGTAAGGGCCACAGGACAGGGTGCAAACAGGAGTTGACACCTATAATACCTCCAGGAAATGGTAAGAAACCCTGACCTTCCAGTTAAAAATAGCTATTTGCCTATGTTTCAGTCGACCTAAATTTCTGCAGACTCGTTTTTCTTTACAAAGTGTTGGATGGTCACGGCCAAAGCCTGAGGTTACTATTTCTGTAGCGCAAGGAGTTCCCTCTCCCTGCACTTGCCGCTCCACTTTCTGATTCTTTCCCAAAAGGGCGGAGAGACAGCACCGCCCGGGGGGCAGCACACTTACTCCCAGCTGTCTGTCTTGGGGCTCCTCGGGCGGAGAGGCCCGATTCCCCCGTCATTCCCCAGCACAAGTCCTCCCTATTGCCCCCGGTCTCCCACACAGCACCTGGGTGCACGGTTTGCCTACTTTCACCTGCCTGCGCCGCCAGCCACTGGCTCCTCTCCTCGCACCCAACTCCGCCTCGGAAGTCAGGACCGAACCCTGCTTAATATTTGAAGAAGAAAAAAAAAAAAAAAAAAAAAAAAAGACACCAGAGGAGGTCCGGAAGCCAGAAGTGGACGGAGGTCAAGCCCTGGACCAATTTACAGGGTCGCGCAAGGGTGAAAATCTAACTGCTGAGGTAAGAGCGCAAACAGCCGAGGAGGGGAAAGCAGAGCAGCTCCGGCTCCTCGGCTTGGCTGACTCCTCGGCAGCAGCAAATGGCAGGCGAGCCCGTGCCCCACGACGCGGCCGGCGGCTACGGGCAGCAGTTTCAGCACCGCGGATCGCGGCGTGAGCGCAGCGCCCCAGCCCAGCTCCGGAGCGGGGCTCCCTGGGGGAGGCGGCCGCCCCGCACTGGCGGACGCTCGGGCTCGGCCGTGCACCGACTGAGCGGCGGCTGAAGAGGAGCCAGGCGGGCTCCGGGCAGCGCTGCCTCCTCCCCTTCCCGCTGCCCCCCTATTTACCTCCTCAGCCAAGGTCACGGCCCCGCGGCGGTCTCTGGGTGCAGGCGGTGTCAGCTGGCTGCAAGAGGAGCAGCCAGGCAGGGCAGCTTCATCACACTCGGCGGATGCGGATGCCGCGCCGCCCGGGCTCGTGCTGCTGAAGGCGACCGCCACCCTCGCCGCCGCCCGCCGCCCGTGCACAGGCGGCTCCGACAGCCGCCGCCCGCGCCCGCTCCCCCGGGCCGCCTCACCGCCTCCCGCCCAGCCTCCCCTCTCTCCCTCCTCCGCCGCTCCTCCTGGGATCTGGGACCAGCCGAGCGCGCGCGGGAGTCGAGACGCCCGGCCCGTGCGCGCGCCAGGGAGGAGGCGCGGGTCACGTGGGGCCGGGGCATCCGAAGGTGCCGGCTCGGACGCGCGGGGCTCTGGGCCGTCGCCACAGCGCCCGGGCCTCGAGGCTTGCCCCACCTTCTCGCAGCTCCGGGCGGCGGCCCCAGTCCCGCAGCAGCCGGCCCCCGCCCGTGGGTGCGCGCGCTGAAGGCCTGGAGACCCGAGCTGAAGGCTGAGTGTAAGCCGGAAAGGGAGGAAGGGCCCTGGGTGATGGATGGGTGGGTGGGTGGCTGGCTGAGTGGATGGATGGGTGGGTAGGTGGGTCCCATGCAGCCGGCTGCTTTATCACGTGCCTGACGACTCCCCCGACACCCCTGAGGAAGCAGGTGATTGATGACTGTGATGCTTAAGTAACAGCGTGCAGTCACTGGGATCTCCTTCATAATGAAAGGAAATGGTCAGGACCAGCTGAGTTACACAGCTCCCCGTCCCTCCTCCCCGGTTGCCGTTGGCTTTCGCAGCTTCCTCTTAAGTTGCAGAGATGGGAAATGATTTGCAGGCTGCCAATCCGAGGAGAAAAATCTTACCACCTGTGAAACTATCCCTAGTGCCTCAGTGCTGCTTCGAACAGAAGGTGCCAGGAGGCATTTTCCTCTGGTCCACTGTGCTCGTCCACCAGCTATGTTCAAGGAGAGTCTGAGGGGCCGAGCTCTCCCCATCTGATTCCGGTTCTACTTTAGGTGTTGCCATTCACTCTCCCCATAAGGTTTAGACCAAGAGTCGCCTTTGCCTGTTACGGAAAGTCATCGCCCTTTTCAGAACCAGTCTTTGGAAGCCCTGCACTTAGTCTCCCTGCACTGGGCCGGATGTGGCGTGGCAGGGACTGAATCAAACCAGTCTCTTCAGAACCAAAATTCAACCCCAGATATTTCCCTGGGCCCACCTAGACCCCAGGCAACTTTTACTCAAGAAAGAAACATTTATCTAATTGACCCTTTACGTGTACGTAGGTACTACAAAGCAAAGACCATTATCCCAAACTACTTGCCCATCCTCCAGTCTGACCCCTCTCTCATTCTTCCCCAATTCTCCACCTCAATCTGTTGTGCCCTATCAAATTGATCAATTTGCTCAACCAAAATCCCCTTGGCTTTCAATTTCTCTGAATATTCCTGTGCATTCAGAAATATTCTCTCTCTGCATTAGAGAAAAGGACAGACACGGTGAGAAATCTCTCCATTCTCTGGTTCACACCCCGGACAGGCCAAAGCAAGAAGCCACAACCTCCTTCCAGGTCTCCTGCATGCATAGCAGGTGAGCAAACATCTGGGCCAACTTCTGCTGCCTTCCCAAGCCATTAGCAAAGAAATGGACAGGAGTGCAGTAACTAAGACGCAAACCAGGACCCATATGGGATTCAGGCACTGCAGATGGCAGCTTTACCTGTTATATACCAAAATGCTGGCATTTGTGTATGCATGTATATATAATATATGCATATAATATAGTGTATATTATTATGTATATAAATTATATATAATATATACACATATAATATGTAATGTGTGTGTAATATATATGCATATATATAATCTGAAAGATATGGAGATGGAGGGACATCCCATAACTCACTCTCAAATATCCACAATGTCTCAGGCTGTGCAATTCTTGAACCATCCTCCACTGGGAAAAGAGTGTGGTGGGTGTGTCAGGCAGGACTCTACCCGCATTCATATGGGATGCGGGCAATGCAGGCAGTGGCTTGGCTTATTGTGCAAAAATGCTGGCCCTTTGTTCCCATTCTTATTCTGGTTACTCCCCCCCCCCCATCAGCCTGTCTTTTTTTGCTCATTTTACTCCTAGGAATATTGACATGATTTAGATGAACAAATTTAGGAAAAATAGCTGGATATGGCCATTCAGTTTAGTTTTCTTATTCAAGAGAAAAATGTCTGAAAAGGAAGCAGGTTTACACCTGTGCATCTCTGGATAGAGCTCCTATCTTCCTGGGAGTCCCAGCTAACAGAATGGAGTCAGCTGGTGTGCGTGTGTGTGTGTGTGTGGAAAAAGGCTCCTTCTACCATCATGTCAACAGGATTAATGATAGAAATTTAAATGTAAACCACATTTTTCAACATAAGTTCCATCAAATTCAAGATAGTTTTGTAAGCAATTACACAAGCTATTTTGAACTTGAAGCTCCTGGGAATTTAACCATCTGAGTGCATTTTTTCACCTAATTAAATTAAGGAAAATGGGTGCAATAAGTTAGAAGAGCCAAATCAGGACTGTAAGTGGATACTCACTGATTGCCCATTAAAGCTCTTTGCTCGGTGAGAATATGCACGTGGGCACTGTTCTTCTGGGAGACTTGTCCAGGTGTGTTGTTTTATTTACCGAAGCTTTGACTAACTTTCTTAAAGCATCCTCTGTTGCTGTGACTTTCACTCCTGACTCAACTGTTGTGCTTTGACTGGACCACCTCTACCTCTGAGTAGCTATTGATTTGATTGTGCTTGGTCTTTAGCATTGTTCTGGTAAAGCACTATTTTGTTCTGCAAGAATAAAACCAACCAACACAGCAGGACCACTGAGACCACAATGATGATGAAACCATGCTTTATTGGAGTCTGTTCCCTGGGGAGGTTCACTGGTCCCCAAGGAAGTGGGCTAGGGAAGTCGCGCTCAAACCAAGGCCAGTGCAGTATAAGGAGTGGTGCTGACTGGGCTTGACGTAGAGGTGTGTGTTTTCTGATTGGTTGGCCCCATTTGAGTGAGTCCTCGGACAGTTATTCTCAGTGGAACTTTTGTCTCTACCCAGGGACTTTCCATCTGCCCCCAGGCCCTCCAGGCCAATATTTTCCTCTCACATTTCTTTGACAAAATGCTCCTGAATCTTGATCTCACCTGCTTAGATTTCCTTAGAAAGTTCTATTCTTGGCTATTGCTGATCTGATATTCAGGATGCAGATATTCTGCTGACTTTAATTTTTCAGTCAGAATGGCTTAAGTCAAATCAATTCAGATACCTGTGGTTTATCCAGCTTATCCTGTTAGTTGTTGGTGTTCTTCTTTTGGAACACAAATAAAAGTAATTGTTTTCTCTGAAAATTTATGCAGATGGCTATTGCTTGCAGACTTCATCTTCAAAGTCAGTTTGTCCCCAGCAAAACGAGTTATTCGTCAATTTGCACACTGCTGAATTCTTTGTTATTAATATCATAAACTTTTCATAAACATTGAGAAGTCTGCCATTTGTCCATCCAGATTTTGCCATGAATTTTGTTTTTGTTATTATTTCAATTTTAACAGAACATACATTGTTCTAATAGAGGTATTTTCTGTTACTGTTGCTGTTTTGTCCCTTTTTCTTTTATTTTTATTAATATAAAGAGAACAGATCTTGGGTATTCCAATGGTAAGTTCCAAGAAGACGGCTACACTTCATTCATACATCTGGTGTTCACACTGCCCTTCCCTCCATCCCTTCTCTATATCAGCTTTTCAAAGGTATAAATTCAATCCACTCTATATTCACAGGCTTAATTCACCACTAATGAGACATTTTCAGAATGATTTCTTACTCTTCTCACTGTTCAAACTAGCTCCTGTACAGATATAACAGATTATTATAAATTTCAGGACAAATTTTCTAATCCATACATATAATAGTTTTTCCATAATGTGTGTTTCTATGTCCTCTTTTAGAGAATCCTCATATATGAATATAATTTCATTTGACATCCCATCCACTTATTACCACCATATTTTTTTCTGTTTGCCTTCACACTGCAAATTCTTCTTTCCATTCTCTTATATCGATTCCATTCTGGTTGCAACTTTCATGTTACTAAGCCCCTGGTAAATTCTCAATTGCAGTAGTAGCCAAGTCAATAGAAGTTAAAGTATATCCCACTTAGCTTCTCAAAAACTTTTACCATTTGATTATCTGGACCTCAGGGTCTTTTTCAGTCTCGTAGCTTGTTCTTCTCTGTTTGTTTAATGCTTGAGTTCTGAAGTGTCTTGAGTCAGTCTTTGAGCCTTTTCATCTTCAGTTAATCTGTATTAACTTAGCTAATTCACGGCCAAACCTAAATACTCTCAGTGCTATCTAGATAAAACAACTCTCAAATGTATACCTTGAACTTATATCTATCCCCTGAAATCCATTTTATCCGTTTCCCACTTTATGTCTCCACTTGAAAATCCTAATTCCTATCTGATTCAGCTTCATGATAACATGTATATTGCACATTTAGTTTACTGCTATGAACTCTGGGTTTAGATGATTCCTAACCTACCATAGATTAAGCAGTAAATATCCCCTAATTGAATGAATGTATCTAATAGCAGTAATTTCATAAGTTGTTTATATTCTATAATCAATTTTTCACATTATTGTCTCATTTAATGCTAACTTACAACCATAAAGATGATTTTAATTACCTCTTTCTTTCACATCAACACAGAAATAGATAGGGAAGGAGAGGATCAGAAAGGTTGGTAAACGATCCAATGTGACTGACATAACTAATAAATGACATTGGTAGTTCTCACTGTTAAATTCCTATATGAAATGGTTTCCCCAAATCCTCTTGTCTGTATGTGTGTGCAACTGACCAAACAAGGCATTTGTGCAAGATTTGGGAAACAAGCTTAAACAGCACGTATTCTCTCTAAACATCTTTGTGATTTGATATGGTGACACATGCACAGTCCCAGAGTAGGTCTCCATACCCAAACCATCTTCCAAATGTCTAGGCTAATTGGCCACAGTGACTACACACACCAATGGTGAGAAACTTTCGGTGATAGTCCTGCGAAGATGGGAACTCCTCATAGGATTTTCCATTTGTTTACCAGCGTGCTTCTCCTTCCACAACTGGGTACACGTGGCATCCCAGATTCCCCTGTAAGTTCTAACTTGCTCACCTACTAAGGGCTTCAGGATGTCTGACACCAATGGTTCTTAAACCTTTCAATTGCCCTTCTGGCAAATAACTTTTTCAGCTTTCTCTGAGATTGTAT